TCATTTTTTCAGCTGTTCTTCATATTCACCTCCTTGACTGAAAACTGTGAGTAGCCACTCATTTGGAAGACTTACTCTATCTGTATTGATTTTTTTTTAATGATATATCTATCATTTCACTTGTTCATCTCCTCTGTAACCTAAATACTCCTGATAATATTTGTCATAATCTGGTTGTCTTTTTCAGTCTGTAATCACACTGATAACCCTTTTTGGGATAACTTCTGCTTATGTTTACATATTTCAAATCAGCTAAGTAGAACTGAAGCCATTATGGGGAGACACTGTTTAGTTTTCTGTGGCATATATATTCATTCTGACTTTTGTCTAGTACAGGCTAGTTTCTCCATGACTCTGTTGACCCCTCTACTGTAAACATATCCCTGTGAAATGCTCACCCTGACAATTTATGTTTTCCTAAATGATAGACAGAATGTAGTGGGGGTTTTTTTATGAATTGAGCCCTTAATTTGCATAAAACAGCACAGGGCTAACAAAACTGGGATTATGCCATGAATATTGGAGTGGCACATGAACTCAGCTGGCCAAAAAAACAGAGAGAATAATCTACCTTTGCCATTAGAGAAGAATATTTATTCCCAAGCACCAGTCCTAGGTTGAACATGCCTCATAGGAGAATCACTTAAAACCAAACCTCCTTAAAAAGAGTCAGTGGCCAGAAGCCATAGTAAAACAGCTTTAGCTGACTTTCTTAAATCGAGATAAAGCAGGTTACTTTCATTCATATGTGTTTATGGGAGGAGGGGGATGTGCTCTGTGCTCTTCATACTAAATCCTATTATAAGCCCTTCATGAAGCATTAATATGTAAAAGTCGACCTCCCGCCATCTAATCTGGTATAATAAGGGCTCGGATACATTATTAATTTTTGTCACACATCTGAGGCCCCCTTTTATCAAGCAAAACCCCCATCTAAATCCCTTGTTGCATCATTAAATTGTGAAAACAGCTTCATCATTCATGACAGAAAAATGGATTGACCCTGAACCATATGGCAGAGGGAGCAGCAGTACCAGCCACCAGTTTCCCCAGTCCCCTCCTTGCAAAGACTGGCACTTTAAAGAATCTGCAATGCAGCAGGGTGACAAAATCACCTTGGGGTTTTTTGTGCAATATTGACTCCTTTGCCTGGAAACACACGAGCCCCACACCAGTGCCAGGGATCAGAGACCAGTTCAGTCTGCAGGAGTCTGGACTGAATTTGAAGGCTGGGGTTGGCAAGTGCAGCTCTGGGGGGGTTTCCCTCACAATGCAAGGTCAGTTTAAGGCCTCAGAAGTTCAGAAGTTGGCACTTGTTTAATCATCCACTAATCCCCTACTCATGCTGTGAATCAATCATTGTTTGCAAATCAGAAAACACACAATATGCCTACCTGCTGAAAAAATGGAACAATTTCTCTTTTTAAAATAAAGAAATGTAAAAACGTGAATTTCTGGGACATATTTCTATCTGTATTTCTAAACCAATTCTTTACCTCAAATCTTCATACTTGTTGTCATTAAGGCTGTGTTGGAGAGATCCTGGTTTCACTCACATGCTAATGACAGTTTCAGTGAAAATCTGTGGGACTCTGAGACAACCTGCACAGACAGTTGTCTGAAATATCATTCATTTTATTCATACAAATAATCCTATCAGATTACTTGCTGGGAAGAAGGATTTAGCCTTTAATAACAAGAAGAATGGCACTTGAGAAGCAAAGATTAATTTGAAGTGAAATGTTAATTTGTATAATTTCTTTCAGATTAGAGTGACAATGATTAAGAGTTCATCATAGATGAGAGATAATTGCATTGTAAAGAAATGTAGTATAGTCATGTAGTTACATTTTTAATGTGAATAGTGCCAGGATTTGAGCTTTGACAGATAATAAGAAATATATGTCATTAGCATAGGTGATTTAAATTTTTAGAAAATTGGCATTCTATTCTGCCCTTTGTGTCTCTTTGTGTTAGAAGGTTCTAATGTTTGAGTATACACAAAGGAGCTAAAATGGTCACTCAGCTTTGTTTTGTAAAAAATAGTCTGTGATTATTGCAGATTCACTTTTGAAAAAAATGCTTGGCACATACAGCAAAACTGGAATTTCTATTTTAAATATATATCTGCATCGGGAATTTATTATCTGTGGTGTAATCTAACAATACCCTTTTAATTTCAAAGAATCTTTCCTGATTTACAGTAAATTTTTAAACAGTTCACTTAGGAAATCAGTGAGGAAATACTGCCACAGCATTTTAGTACTGCTTTTGGTAGGGCAAGGGGTTTGTTATAGATTTCCAACATAAAGTATATTTAAAAGGTGGATCAGAAGTTTAAAATAGAATGATATTAAAATTATTTTGAGATGAGATGATAAAACCGAGTACAGTTTCACACCTTTCCATATGTGTGTGACAGCACAGCAGGTAATTTATTCACAGACAGCTGAAGTAGCATGAATGTGAGATAGGGAATATTAATGTGAATTAAATTATTATATTTCTAGATTAAAAACAAAGCATGTGCTTACTTATAGGACCACATAGCCTGAAATTCACTATGGCACCAGCCCTTAACATTGATTATCCCTAATATTTTGCTTAATTATCCCTCTACTGCAAACATTTCACAATAGCTAAAACATAACTTCCATTATAGGAATTTAAAACCCAATGAGAAAAACTATCACATAATTTCTCTGGTTCGATCAGTGGTGGGTAATCATTATTGTTACTATTTAAGCTTTTTAAAATTTGTATGGCTGTCAATTGCTGATTCTTGTAATCTCTTTCCAGAGGACTAAAGCATACACTTATACCAAGCAATATTTCCAGTGGAATTACATGCATACTTACAATCAGATTATCTCCTAGTAATCTTTTTATATACATGTATCCTGAATACATAGTTATTGCTATTTCTTTCAGTAGGCATCACTTTATACTGTCATTTTTGAAGCAGTTAAAGATCTCTAAAGCAATCTCTAATTTTTCAACACCCATACTAATATGAATGCTCCAAATTACCCACAAAAATCCAAGTTCAACGTCATTGACTTAAATACACTCACTGCACTAAAGAAAGAAAAGCAAACGTTCTAGGATTACACTGATTACTTTAGTAGAGCATCAGGCTGAAAGACTGTGATGTGTTTCTAGTCCCACGTGGCTTAGGATCCCACTCAGTGAGACTGCTTTTCAGACTGGTCCCTCCCTCTCTGATGTTACTTTGCACTCAAGTATCATACATTGAACAGAATTCAGTCAAACAAAAGTTGAATATATCATCTGATCGACTGGATCTTTTTGTACCCACAAGTTTATCACCATTTATATATATTCCCCAAATGACTGATGAAATGTGAAGACCACAGCAAGTCTCAGCAGTATCATAATGGTGTCTGAATCTTTGAAAGGGTAATAAACTCTAGCCAGATAATCATCAGTCTCCCAAGGTGATAAATATCACTAGTCCATTTACAGTTGTGAAGAACACAAAAAGAAAAGAAAAGGTTTCATCACACCACTTGGGGCAGATACCCCAAGTAGCCTGGGCTCCCTACAGAATATATAGGCAGAGGGATGCCTGGGAATGATACAACACACCTGAGGCATGAAGTGCTTCCACAGGAATAATACCTAACTAGATAAAATACACCTAGTTTAACAGGAGTAGTCCTCAGTTATTGTCATAAATGTAAATGTTTGTGAAGAAGAGAAAAATCTGATTGGAACCTGTCAACTTGTGTGCTTCTACTACTGACTTTTCCTGGCAATGTCCCCACCATTGTCTTGCAAATCTCTGTAGTTGCCTCACTTTACATCTGAATTCAAATGACTTTTCTGATGTTGTTTGGGTGAATGAAGACAGCTTTTGATTCTCTGGGTCAGATTCTGCAGCCTTTAATCTTGACAAGTTACAGACTGTGTAAAGATGCAAAAATTATTAAAGGAGGAAGAAAAGGTAAATAGTCCTTTGCTGTTAATTAATTAATGGCATTAATTAATTAATGACTATTAATGGCTATTTGAAAATTCCTTTTACATTTCTGAATATTAGTGTTTTCTCAGTTACAGAGCATCTCTCCATTTGTAAATACTAGTTTCTACTGTAGATCTCTCGAAAAGCTTTTTATCTTGAGGAGACCATTTTTTGCTTTAGCCACACTCTCTCCTTGCTCTCAGTCTCAAGCACACACATAAGCCATGTCAGGCTAAGCCTCTCTGCCCATCCAGGCCTACCCTTAATGTTGCCCACTCCTGAGAAGAGTTAAAGGTATATGGGGCTGAGTTTAGTGTCCATTTGCACTTGGTGTGGTACTGGTTTGAAGAGTGGCACTAGGACCTTTGCTGCTTCTGCAAACGATGAGCCTGTGGCATTAAGCATGGATGTGAAAGCCTCATGTGTCTCGAATACTCAGTGGATCTAATTAACAGGTAGAATCGCACCCAGGGTGCTTGAAAAATTGCCAGACACCATAGAAACGAGACCTTAAGTCCCCAGACCATCTGCACTTCCTTTTCATTGTGGAAGTCTCATTTAAACATGTTTTTCGACCATTCTAAATTCATTTATGCTTTAATGAGAAAATCCTGCCGACGGTTTCCCTTTTCATTAAAACAAAAATCACAAAATTCTTTAATTTGATCACTGGGGGAAAAAAAAATATCTCAAGCTTTGATGAAATAATGAATCTTTGAATTTGCCTCTGAATACGTTTTGTTTGAGTATCGTTGCCACAACCTCCTTAAGTGACCGTCTAAAGGAAAAGGAAACCAACATGAGACATCCCCCGCAAAACCAGGGTGTTGCTGGAAGGAGGGTGAGCAATGCACCAGCACGGTGGAGTTCCCGGATCGCAGGCAGGCGGTCCTTCCCTTCCTAAGGCGCTGCCTTTGAGCGCGGCTTAAGCTGCGGGGGTGCAGCGGAGCCCCGCCTGTCCGGAGCTCAGCCCCGCTCCCCACGCGGGTCCTGGCGCTTTTTAGGCGCTGTTTACCTGTTTGCTGCCAGCCGAGATGAGATGTACCCTCCGGGGATCTGGGTGATTATGTATCCCCAGAAAAAAGAGCCGTGGATCATGCCAACTGTTTCAGGATCCCAATTAAACTTCGCTTTCTTCCAGTGCGAGGGACCGGGACAGAAAAAGAGAAAGACGAGAGGAAGGCTGTGATTGTGCCATTTCAGAGCCTTAGCTTCACCCGCAGTGCAACCGAAGGGGTTCGGCTGCCGGCTCCGGGCTCTGCCCCAGCCCCCACGGCAAGAGCTCCATCAGCAAAACCAACCCAGTAACAGCAACAGAACCGGCACCGCCCGTGCCTCCCGGGACAGAGAGGGGCAGGGGACCCGTGTGCCCGGAGCATCTCGACCGAGGCACGGCTGGCTGGGCCGGGCAGGGCAGAGCTGGGACCCCCGGCTCACAGACACAGCCCTGCCCGCACTTACCTCTTACCTGTGCGGGCAGCAAGCCCTAAGGGGTTTGTCTGCGGATTTGGGTGTTTAAGACTCATCTGCATTTGTCACATCTTTCCCACCACGCTTTAACTCTCTTTAAAACGGCTCTTATCATTTAACGCCTTTTGTCAGCGCAAATTCACCGTGGTGTTTTCAAACATTCCTGCAAAACCTCCCCGCCTCCTTTACGGCGAGCTGCACCCGCTGACAGTCCTTCTCCCATCCCTTACGTTTATTTTAGGAGATATCTGTGCTTTTCAAGTGGAAAAGACAGGGCGGGGGGCGAATTGTCCGCACAATAATACCGTGAATTAGGGCTGGGAACTGAAATGGAAAGGTAGAAATAATCGGTAGAAATTGTTTCTGGGTCAAGAACGGGATTTCCGTCCTTCGAAAGGCAGGGGGAGGGGGGTCCCCGCCTCGGGACTGGGGAGTACCGGGATTCAGGTGAGGGGAAATGCCGCGAAACCATCCAGAGCCCGTCCCACCTGTGCTGAGGTGTTTGACTGAGAGTTGTACTGGGAGGATGTGGGATTTACGAGGGAAAGGTTCCCACCTCTTTAATAATTTTTCCTCCTCGGTGTATGGTGCTGTTATTGACCATATCCACGATGGCCACTCCCAAGTTACATCGGATCCCGAAGGAAATGCAGAATCCCAGTCCGCTCATGATGGCAATGATGTACCTCCGGGGCAGCCCGAAGCAGGTACAGTCGCACAACGGCGCTTTCTTTTCGGGCACTTCCATGGGCTTTCCATCTTCGGTCAGCTCGATGGTGTCCCCGGGCTTCTGCCTCTTCTCTAGGACTCTGCCCAACACAAGAAGGGAAAGTCAAGGCCTGGCCGCCTGCAGACACAACAATTTCGGCGAGCTGGAGGCTTAAATTCACCGTTCCGCTCGCTCCTTTGGCTTGGAGATTGATTTGAGGATTTATTCTTGCTTCCCATTCACCTTCAGCTGTTCTTTAGCAATGACCTGTGGGAGTCACGATTAGTCATCCCCAACTCCCCCCGCCACCCCTCCGCAGCAGCCCAGGGAGGAGCTCTAGCTGAGAATTGCTCATCTATCATTAAAGACTTCTGCTTAAATATGTAGGACGCATCAAGAAGACATCATCTGTAACCACTGCAGAGGCGCCATGTTGGGCAGCCCCAAAGGTGCAGGAATAGAATCGGTTCTGGAGGTTTTATCACCTCCCTGCTGCATTAGAAACACCGAGGGGATGATCTCGGTGTGCACCTCGCTTTCGTTCTGGGAACAAAAGAAATGTTAGGAGAAAAAGACGGGAGGGAGGAGCGAGGAGGAGGAGGAGGAGAGGGCGATATTGCTATTTATTTTAGATTTGCAAAATGGCTGTCACATGCAGTTGAAAGAAAACATGACCGAGAACTGGCATCTCCGGAGAAGGCTTTCCCAAAATCTCAGTGCTCAGCTACACGTTGTGAGCGTGTGATCATTTAGTGCTTAAAGCTGCTCTGAGGAGGTTAAACCTGCTCTCTCCTTGCCCTCACTCCCTCAGTTTTACTTGAAAATCGTGTCCCCTAGAAAACAATCTGAAGGAATCTAAAGGGAAATGGTTGTTTGAAGCTATTTCCAATCAGCTGAAAAATACCACGAAAGGTTATTTAGAACATTTAGATGTTTGTGTGTGTGTGTGTGGAAAATCTTTTAAAATGCTGTGTCGGCAGCAAGAAAAATCAGGTTTATAGAGCAAACGTCCCATACTGAATCCCTAAATCTTCTTCCGAAGTCACTGAGATATTTAAAAACCAGAAAAGATAACCAAATATCTCGTCTTGAGAAGCAAGTACGTGACCATTTGCCGACACTCTGGACTCTACAACCACTGCCCTCACCTCTGCTGTAGAAGTGTTTTCTCACTCGGAGGAGCATCTCTTTCAGGTTAACTCATGCGGCTGATAGGGCGGTAACAATTAGCAGAATAAGGCTTAAAAGGTTATCCGTGTTCGGGAGAAAATACAGGGATTTTCTCCGAAAGCTACTCAGCTGAAATTCTCCTGATTTTTCTTATCTGGGCGTATTATTTCCATGCTTAAAGATCGCGGCATTAAGAAATGTCTTAAAGTTGTGAATAAAATAAACCACCGTGGGTTTTTGTTCAAAATTCGTTCGTGTGGATAAAGGGTTGGAGTGTTTTTTCCTTGAATGGGCGTCTTGTCTTAGGGAATAGAATGGAAATCAATGTGTAAGAGGCAAGAAAGAAAATTGTTTAGATTCTAAGAAGAGTAAACAAAGTACTTAATTGCCGTGAGCTGAAAAAGATTAGCAAATCACGCGTTTGTTAGTCGAGGTGTGAATTCAAACGGAGTTTTGCTGGAAAATACAAGCACCGTTTCTCCATTATTCACTGTGTGATTACAAATAGTAGAGATAATAGTTTTATTTAAATGTTGTAGCTTTTAAGAACAAAAATTAAAGTTTATTTCCTTAATCATATTTTAAGCAATTTTTCTGGATTATCCTTTCTTCTTATTATTAATTTTCAGCAATTGAAAATTACTTAAATATAACGATAAACTGTAGGAAATCGAATGCATTGATGATGACTTTAATTTTACTTTTGGTTTTTCTTAATGGTACACTTCCTATGAAAATGGAAGCCTTAATTTTGTCTGTATCACTTCACTGATATGTCCCCTTCCCTTAAAATGGCAGCAGAAGTTGTGACTCATGCTGTGAAACAGCCTGGTGTCTGTGCCCAGCACTGCCGCATAGGTATGGAAAAAAGATTTTTACGTGACCTACCCATGGCAGACAAATCCGCAGTTACTTTATAGCTGCAATTCGGGGGGGAAAAAAACAACAACAACAAAAAACCCCAACAAAACAAACAAACAAAAAAAAAAACAAAAAACAAAAAAACAAAGCCACACCACCACCACCACACGAACAAAAAACAAAACAAACAAAAAAAACCACAAAAAACCCAACAACAACAACAAAAACAATCAAAAACCAAACCAAACTAACAACACACCCCAAGACAAACCAAATATTTTAGGGTAATTTCTAGCAGACAGTACAATCGAAAATTTATCGGAATTCCACAGACTATTCTCAAAGGCTGTGGAGGTCACTAAAGTCACCAGATTGGATGGAGAACGGTGTGTGAACTTTAGAGCATGCACTTCGTAGATATGCAAGAATCTGGGCTTATTTATCTCTGTGCTTGACCGTGATAGAAATTTTCTTTACACACAGAAATATACAGGAGTGATGCTTTTGAGTTTAGCAATTGCAGCCGTATATAATTTATAGAACAAGCAGATGCTTCTAAAGGCAGATGGATAAATAATTAAACACATTCCTCTATATGTTTCAGCTTCGGGAGAAAAAAATCGTTCGGATATCAATTATTTATGCATCTCCATGTTTACCTTCATCTGACGACGAACTACACAAAGGACAAGACTAATCAAAACCAGAATTTTTAAAAAAAATATATTTGTTAAGGGCAGGGGGCAAGAGCCTGTGAGTGCATTGCAAAATTAAGATGGAACAAAAATATAGGTTGCTGCTCTCTCCTGATTATGATTTCAAGATGGGATCCTGTTTTTGTCGAAGAAAGGTGGGGTAATCTTTTACTACATCTTTTCTGACACCATCTACGAGTCAGATAGAGAAGTTACGAGGGTGCCATATTGAGCAGCTTCAGCACTAGTTTCCAGGATCTAGATTATATCCAGCAGAATCGCAACAGCTCCCGACCCTGCCACCGCTAACCTCCCCAAAGCATTCGACCTCCTGCAGCAACGGGCGCTTAAGAAAAGCTTCCAATTTTCTTTTTTTCTGGAGAGTGGAATCCTACAAGAGATATCTGTCTTACCTGTAGAGTTGGCCAAGAGATTTTCCAGCAAAATTCTTCAATCCCTCCTTGCCGGGAGTCAAAATCCTTTGTTTTACCGACTCCATTCCTGCGGGGATGCTCGCCGGATAATGCTCTGCTCTGGATACGGCACTGCTACGAGCAACGATGGTTCATATTGGTTTAATCTCTTAACTTTTCGTCCTCATTCAGTGGCTATCGGTTCACCTACGGGTAAAGGGAGAATGAGAGGAAGAGTGCGCGTGTGTGTGTGTGTGTGTGTGAGCGAGGTGGAGACGGCGTGCGGAGTCGGGGGGGGCGAGGGCGAGCGAGCGCGCCTGTGTGCGGCGGCGAGAGGGGCAGGCAGCCCTCGGGGTTCCCGGCAGCACGGAGTTGCCAGGCACGGTCAGGAACTCTCCTCGGCCTCGCAGGGCTCAGCAGCGGCGGGCGGAGGCAGAGCCATGCCCGGCAGGGCGGGGACCGAGGTCTCGGTGCGGGGAGCGTGTGGAGGCAGCGCCGGCTCTGCGTGTCCCCGGCGCAGCGCTGGCGGGGGCGGGGTGCGCTCGCCGCCCTGGGCACACGCTTGCCAAGTCCCCGGAGCCGCCGGCCGAAAAGGCACGGGCGGAGCGGAGCCGCTGCCCCCGCCCGCCTTCCCGCAGCGCTGCCCGGGCCGCGGCTCCGCTCCGCTACGGACGATCAGCACCGCGGCCAGCGCCGCTCCCGCTCCTTCT